AAAAAAAAAAAACTGACACTTATCTGTCAATGATATCTTTATTCTTTTTGGTTTTTTTTTTTTTTGAAAACAATAATCATTGTACTTAGCAGTAAATTAATTAAGGAGGAAATATTTATTTCTTTTTGTTTGCCTGTTTTATCACAAAAATTTTTCACATAAAATGAGCATTAATTTGTTTATTTTTTTGTTGCTAAAGACTAAAGAAATGGAAGAATCATTGGGGTTGTCCAGTCGACAAACTGTACGTTTAATGCCACCGTTGAACATGTTACTTGGCGATTCCGGTAATCCAGTTAGTCTTGATGAACTTATTGCCAAATTAACCGCTGTATGCCGGTAAGTTTCTCCGGATATATTAATTCACTACATTTTTTTTTTTTAAATGTTTGTTATATTTACTTCTTTTTTGTTTTCAAAAAATACGATAAAAATTGCTTTGCATATACTGCAACTATGATAAAAGATGCTGTTCTTTTTGAAAGATATGCAGCAAAAAAGTTGTTAAATTGCTTAATGATAAAATTTATTTTGCACAATTATTACTTCTTCTTTTTTTCTCTCTCTCTTTTTTTTTTTTTGTTTTCAAAAATATCAAAGTTATTTTGGAGGATTGAATTTGCATTAATTAAAAAAATATTCTCTTATACAATATTTATAATTTTTAAACTGTTTATGCTTTTTTTCTTCCTTTTTTCGCACATCTTTCAATCTCAGTCTCTGTTTGCTGTTTCTAAAAGTGTTGTTTATTCATTATTCAGAGAATACCAATTTCAGATTTATGTTCAAATATTTCTTCTAGTTTTTTTTATTAGATAATTAAAAATCTAGAGTAAAGTTTTATCAATATGTTTAATTTTTTGTTATTTGAATTTTTTAGACAAACATAATCGATAATTATTAAGTATAATAATCATAGTTTTTTTGAGGAATATTCTAATAGGTAAGTAAAATAAACAGTTTTGTTGTACAGTGTAAATTGTTACCAAAAATCTTTATAAATAATAAAAATTATTTGTTGTATTGTTTTTCTGTAATTTGTTGTTATTTTAGCAGAATTTTTTTTTTTTTTTTCAGGACAAATAGCAAGTTTTTGCAGTGTATTCGGGAATGTCCTGACCAATCTGCATCTGAAATTTTAATTAAGGGTCAAACTGCATGGATTACGATATGTAAAACATTTAATTTATATAGCGGTTAGTTACTGCTTGCCAGATTTAACGATAACATTATTTTTTTTTTTAATATTTAAGGACCTAAGAGTTATAGTAAAAATAATAAGAATTTTTTTTGCGCAGTCATTTATTTAGCTAAACTCTTAAAAGGACTGTAAAATTAATTGCAACAATGGTCTGAATGATATACTGTAGTCTCAGCACTTGATACTACTAAGTTAGAACAGATCTCATAGAATTTGCTATTTCTTTTTGAAATATTTTATCCGATCATATCAGGTGCACCAACTTTAATAAATCTATCTGTATTTTGCAGATATGAGGGCATTTTCTTAGATATCTAACAAAAAACTTGAAAACTGTGAATTTATCTTTGGTATGCATTTATTCTTTTGTTGAAGATCCATTTAAAACGTCAGTGTTGATCTGTTGGGCACGGTATGGTAATAAGATGAGTATGAGCTGTACAGCGGAAGAAGCTGAATTAGAATCGGCATTTCTACGGATGGCAGCTAATGGACGGAATAACGTACAGAATTATACAGCACTTTTATGCAGGTATTTCATATGTGTTTCTTTTTACTGCTTTAACTGTTTACAAAATATTTTTTTTTTGTTTAACTGTATCTATCTGAACGTAATTTTATATAGATTTTGACGAGAAAAAGATAACTTTATTTTGCAGGAGTGTTGTTCAGCATGACCTCTGTTATGTTAATCAAGTTAGGCAACACTGTGATCGGACAGCGTTACGTTTCTTTCTCCAGCTTAGTGAACGAAGTTTTGCGTATGTATCGTTGTTCGTCATTGTTGTAGACCCCGCAACCAACGATTCTCTTGAAATTTCTGTTATTTTAGACATCTAAAATTGGATGGCAATTATTGAGATGTTGTAAACCAGTTGTTAACTGCTTAGTTTATGTTTGTAAATATAGTTAAAAATATACAGCAACAATTTAAAAGCGATATTTGATGAAGCCATCTGTTGCACAATTTTAATGCTACTACTGCTGTTTCAGCGCAATGACAGATTTGTTCCGGTGGACCAGCCAAGTAAATGTGTTACCGGCAGATTGTCATCAATGGCTTACTGCATCAGAATTTGAATCCTATTTTAGTGGTCGTAGCGATGGTTGTCGATTACAGATACAGTACACTTTAATCATTGTTATACTAATGTTTTTTTTGCTCAAATACATACAAATAAATATTTGATCTGTACACATAGTAATATATATTTTGTTCCTAAACCCGACAATTGTATACGTTTAATAGCAAAAAATTATCCGGTGAAAGCAAAGTGTACTGTAACAAATTCTATCAGTCATTGGAAGTCTAATTAAGAGGAAAAAAAGTATCTTTACTTAATGTTGGTGAAAAAAAATATAAGATTTTTTTACGTCTTATACTGACTAACCGATTATCACTGTCATTGTACAACAGTTGTCTCTCATTTCACTTAACTGTACTTAATTGTACTAATTTTTTTTGCTTATCATTCATATAAAAAAATTTATAAATAAAAAAGAAAAATGAGAAGAGAATACTGTTTTCTTGTTGAAGAAGAAACTATTATTTTGAACTGATGAAACATCATATATTTTATTGTTTTGATTGCAAAAAATTCTACGATTTTGATGGAAAATACGGCGCTGCCATTGCTGCTGCGTAAATCCACCGCCACAGTAAACAGCTGTAATTAGGAACTGACGACCAATAAAAACTACTTTTAAAATCTGAACTGTTGCTATTTTGGTTATTTTTTAGTTCTTTGACTGCTTTTTAAAAAGCTAAAGTTTTTGAGCAGCAATAAATTTAGATTTTTGCAAAAAAATTTATTTATTTTAATCTGAAAAAAAAAAGAAAAAAAAGTTAAAACTAAAAATAGAGCAAAAAAAAACAATTGTTTAATTTTTTTTTTCGTTGTTTAATATGTATGTATTTGAAATTTGGTTTATTATGTTTTTATTTGGTTTTAATGTGATATATACCATGTGTATATGCTTGTTAAAAATCAATGTTTCTTTTGTTTTCCTTGGTAAAAACTATATACTGCTGTTCTAGTACTGTTTAATGTATAATTGGGTTGAAAACATTAAGCAAAAACAAGTAGTTGGTTGATGCATAAATAAAATCTATAGTCATCTGTTGCCTAAAATTAACCAGATTTTTGTGTAGTTCTTTTGAATGGTCTAATATGATTGAAATAAGCATAATTAGCAGTAAATTAATAGACCCTTCCACCGCCTTTTCAAAAAAAAAAAAAGTTCATTGTGAGACCGAATTCAATGAGCCAACCCTATTTACGACTGACTGACTGCTCAACCAGTAGTGAGCTGTGTCTGAGCCCCTCAAACTAATAATGTGTTTGCCAACAACGCATCGGCTGTCTTTCTCTTCGTAATCACCATAACTGCAATAGCTTCCGGCAGTGTTGGAAACATTCTTCATAGAAAAAACTTTGCTATCATAGTTAAACCTGTATGAAAATTAGAATTAAATAGGATTAAATTTCTTATTATTGAATTAATTCAGGGAAAAAAAATTTTATGATTTTTATTTTATAAATTTTATGTTATAATCGTTACTCCATAATCAACTGTTGGAAATATTTCAAGACTTTTTAATAAAAGCCACAGAAAGTGTCAAAGATAATCCATAAAAAAATTTATTACTTTAAAAAAAATTTAAAAGTCTGTTGCAAATAATGTCTTGTTGAGCATTACAGATGAACACTGGAAAACAGTAAACAAAAAATTCATTAGTAAACAGACAAAAGTCAAAAAAAAAAGTTTAGAATACAGAAAGGCTGTTAAATACAGAAATTCTTTAGATATTTCTAGTGATGCTCATTCTACACCACTCAACTTCAAAT